GCTTAAATTTTATATGCATGCTCTTTAGTAATTATATTAATCAATTTATAAACTATAAATATGTGATAAGTTTATGCAACAATCATTTGCAAATCCAGAACAGTTAGTACACAAGCTAATAATGACAAGTGCAGTGGTTTTTGTTTATTATTTGTGTATTACCAACAAGTATGTTAATTATATTTTATCAAAAATAAATTAATTATTATTATGAGGAAACATGTAAAAATTGTATATATTTTTTTAAATATTAAAACGGTTATGTTTCTGTTTATTGTGAATATTTATTGAGCTCGTTTGAAGATAAGTACGTCATACTTATTTGTAAATAAATCTTTGTACTGACTAGAATCTCTGAGAAGTCAAAATATTACCAAGGCATTTCCATGCATTGCAAAAGGAAATCATTTTGAATATCGTTTCAGAATATTTTAAGATTTTTAAAACATTAAATTTGGGATTTGGGCATTACATCAATGGGTAGTTAATAAATTGTAGGAAGGGTAGGAATCAATGGTAAGTAAAAAGTTGAGGGCACATTTTCGGTAATTTTTTAATGATATCTACTATCCCTATTCATTTCAGCAATTCATGAATATGACAATAGTAAAAACCTTTACCTCAAATGGCATAAATATGTCAAAGTACTATTAGCAACTTGTTGGTTTACAAAAAATGCTCTACCAGCTTGATTAGTAATTTCTAAACCGTTATTCCTCATATGACACGAAATTCGTGAAAGTATTTTCAACAATTCAACATAGAATAATCTACCTCAACTGTTTACTTCATTCAATTAACACATAACCAAATCATTTACATTAAAACACATTTTCATTTGAACAGATTACGTCAGAATAGTACTATGTACGACCTTGCAAAACATCTTCTTCATTGTTAATTACATCGCATGTATACATGACTATAAATGGAAGAGTGGAAAATATTCAACCCATTTGGAGAACCAATTTCAATCATCTCATATGGAAATATAGACAGTAAAAAAACTTATCTAGGGTTGACTTATGGACAATGGACAAAATTTTAAATTGCCATTATTTATTTGTTGCACTCATGAAAATCCTTACAAACTTTGCTAGAAGCAAGTTGTTCAACTTGGCAACAATTGTATAAGTTTTTGTTTATAAGTAATGAATGATGCCCAAGACTTCATATAAAATGGTTATATAGGGCTGCATTTGAATATGCAACCTTGTAGTTGCCAGACCCAGACATTTACCAACTTGAATTATGTATTTCCATACTATTCCAATATTCTATTAGTAATTAATCTAATATTTTTACATAATTCCAGGTTTGGGGTCAGATGAGAAATTAGATTCACCAGACGATACTTGCCCATCCGACCACCAATACATATATCATGGTGGCAAAGAAGGAACAGTAACTTGGACTGTGGATTTCAGGTGATTAATACCACAGCCTCTTTTATATTTTATTTTAATTAATATATTAATATATGACCGACATTTATATACGCACTACAATCATTCCAATCGACATTTGTCATCACTTAAATGAATCATAATAGGAAATATTAATCGGTTAAAATTATTGCTCATGAATAAACAATTTATTTGTGATACTGGTAATAATCATAAGCACTGTACTAAATCATTTGCTATAGATATACATATTTTGATTTAATTCCAAATTTTTACAAAAAAACATTTTTTTATGACTTTTAAAACAAATAAAAATTTTCTTTTGTACTTATTGAAGAGCTAAATTTACCATTTGCAAAAACTTACAAGTGGAAAACTGATTCACAAAATACAAATATCCGTACAGTACCAATATAGGCATTTTAGATAAAACATGGTATCAGCATGTGCAGTTTACACTTGGAATTCAAGTCATTCTGTATTAGTATAAATAAACTATATCGCATATTTAAATATGTATGTTCAGGTTAAATAAATAGAGAAACTAATGAACTGGCGCATATTTATATGAATATAACACCTCAAATACCGCAAACAAATTATTGAAATGTTTATGCATTATATCATATGTACTGCATACAAATTATTGTGCAATTACAGAGCATCGATATAAAATTATCCAATACCATCAGGAATTTTGCGGTTGATGTTCACAGTTAGTTTAGTTTCAGTAATCGTGATAATTTAGAAATTGAAACATTAAAAAATTAAAAAACGCTTAAAAATTAGTAGGATCTCTTTACAAAGTCAAAGCCAATATATTTTACTATAATTCTTAATTTCTGAAATAAAATTTAAGTCATTTATATTTTTCATCAGCTACATTCCTTTTCAGGATATGGGCATAAATGCAAGTCAATTTGCAGTTTGCGACGTATCAGCAGAAACTTTACACATATTGGATTTGCCAATATGCCAACAAATTAAAAGCATTATGTTACTTACGACGAATGACTCGTAAGTAAAATATTTAATAATAAGATACACATATCTATAATAAAATAAATATCAAATCATCTATACATATATACATTCATATATACATTTCTGATACAACCCTTAATTTCATTTTTACACAAATTACTCGTACTTGGTATATCAGATTAATTGCTCTAATTGCAAACTTTTTTTTATATCGGAGAAACTAGCCAAAACCTGAGTAAACGTCATCACATAAAAATAACTCAAAAATTCCCAAACAATTCAAAACGATGTTAAATGAGCATATTATTATTTTAAACCAATATAAATAAAGAAATAAAAAAAGATTCGCTGAGGGGTTGTTTCTGCAATTGCATAACAACAGGGTCATAAACAAACGATTCGACAATACAGTCCTGAACAAAACAAACACGTGGTTCCTAAATAGCGTGTCAAAATTTCTTAAAAATTGTCTAAGATCCCATCGCTTTTTAAATGTTCCGTAAAATTTGAACACATGTTAAAAACTGTTTTAAGAAAAATGTGACATTTCTATCTTAAACTCCGAATCGTTTAATATTTCTGAAATTAAGTAAATTACAAAACAATCTATATATATATATATATATATATATATATATATATCTGATCCTGAAAGTTGCAAAGCAAATATATGAATTTTTTTCCAAATAATTTAATATTTCTGAAACGCTGTCTTGACTATCACGTACAAAATAATAAAGCACAAAGCATTGATAAATAAATTATCTGTTACCATTGACATAGGCTCGCATACCAGTATTATTGTCTGCGATAAAATAAAAACGAAAGCGTATATAAAAGTTGAACTAATGAATGGCTGTGACAATAATTGAGAAAGTGTATTTGTAGGGCAGAGTACGATAGGGGACATCAGTCCGGCTACAGTATGAGAGTGCCGGACGTTGCCCCCAGAGATCAGCGATAGAAAAGTATTTTCGAAGACAAACTTGGGTCCTGGCATTGGAGGATGGAGTCGTTCTGGTTTGCGGATACATGAAACATAAGTATATTCTAAAAGAAGGTAAATGATCAAAAATTATCTTGAATTAGTTAGAAGACTCATCTTATATTATGTATATTATGTATTTGTTGCAGTTCTAATTACAATCACTGATTTGTTACTAAGTTATAATGAAAGAAAATATATTTATTTTTATTGGTTATTTACATGTTGTTAAGCGGACTTTACTTTTTGAAGTGAACAAACAGTTCAATTAAAATACTCCGCTACCCCCTCTACCAGGGGTAGCAACCATTCCGTGTAAAGATTAATGCCCTGAAGTTTTGTCACCTTCATGGCCAATATAATAAAACGAAAAGACGTCCGAACATGCCTTGAAAGGCGGTATACATATTATGATCAATATATCAAATATATTAAACACATTAAAAAAATCCAAAATTTTTCAAAAAAGAATTCAAAAATTTTACAATTATTTCTAGGTACTAAAAATACGCCTGATGTTTGGAGGTGAAGGGGAGTAATTTTAAGATCAACACGTATTATAGAGAAGAAAGGGGGTGGTCTTAGAAATCGATCACGTGATTAATATACGGCCCCTAGTCGACTTAATCAACAAAAAATCAATATTTTCATTTATAATAAGTGATTTATAACTGTTCCAAGTTGGTATAACATTACAAACTTTTGCGCCTTATTAAATTTTGCACACATACTTTTTCAAATTTTGATGTCAAACGATTCAGAAGAACTTGAAACTTTGAACAAGCATAAAATTAGCAAATCGCATTATATGGCAAAACCTTAAATTTCTTCTTCGGAAAGTTAATAACAATATCTATTTTTATTAAATAATTGATCAATCAATCAAATTACAGTATCCAAATGGAATACATATAGCCGATTAGCGTTAATGAAAAAATAAACAATGAAAAAAAAGAAAAACGAGTTAATTATTTCATTTAGTTATGTGTTAAATATACCCGAATATTTTAAGAAAAAATATCTAACATCTAATGAAACACATGTAACTTTATAAGCCTATTCATATTCCCATTATATTGATTTTTAAATTACATATATTCAATAAACTTTAAAAATCAAATATAATAATTATTCAAGAACAAATAATTTAAGTTCGTTCAAATAACTAATTTTTTTTATTAAAAACTTAATATTTTTTATAATTTTGTTCTGCAAACCGCAGCTTATATACCGTAAAATTTATGAGCATTTGCAATCAGATGATTCATGTTGCAATTTCTAAGTGTGTTTAATTGAAAATGTCTCACAAATTAAAAGCTCAAACGATAGCAACAAGACTAAAAATTAATTGGAATAACTATAGTTATCAAAGCAGAATAAAATATCCAAATCTCGTAATGTTTTTACCCAATATCAACAAACTAAATGATCTACAAACTAAGCAAAGTCGATTTATTAGGGTCACAATTTTCATTTACGTTTAAGTTAATTTTTAGTATCAATATATTGACTTAAGATTAACTATTATGACAATTTAAGTCGATAAAATCATTTATTATATTTCAGGTGCTATATCACGATGCTTTGGTCGTCACCTCGATCCGAATCAATTTTTAATTGAGCAAGATAAAATACAAGTAGGAAGAGCAGGACAAATATTTTTTTATTATTACTTTGTTAACAATAATGACTTGAGTGTTCGTAAGTAAACATTTAACAAATTTTCAACAATATTATTAACTGCAAATATAATAGACAATCAAATGTTTAGAGGAAACTTTATTGGTTGATGGTGTTATGGACCCAAAGCCTATATTTTTTAAAAAGACTTGGTATGTTTCGCCTCTTGGAGGATTCTATGTGAGCATTTTTTTAATAATGTACATATTAATTATCAGTAACAAGAATTACACGCCTATAAATATTTTATACAAAATTATAACACTAATGATATAATGACATCGTGACTACCAGCTTAATTTTTTAATCAAATATTATCATTTCTCATGCTTTGATTATATGATATCTCCAAATACGACCGAGGCGATGTTTATAAATTACATCACGCACATTACGTGGTCTGTTCAAAAAGTACCCGGAATTTTCGTTTTTTCAAAAAAATATTTATTTATTCGTCTACATTAATGTGGTCCCCTTCAAAGTAGTCCCCCCCAGATATAATACACTTATGCCAGCGTTTTTTCCAATTTTCGAAGCACCCTTGATATTCACTTTTTGATATGTCCTTGAGCACTCTCAGCGATTTTCTTCAATCGAGGAAAACCGCCGTCCTTTCATGGGTCTCTTCAACTTTGGGAATAGGAAAAAGTCACACGGAGCCATATCTGGTAATTTTTGCACTTTGCAACACTTTATTTCATTTTTTACGCAAAATTTAATACAAATTCTTTGACTTTTCAATTCTTCCATTGTAAAAATCGCCGAGCTCAGAAAAACACGTCGAACCTTAGCGACTACCACAGACAAAGTAAACAGTGAATATAGCTGAAAATTTCATCATACTTTAGGGGCATGTATACCAACACAATAGAAAAAAAATTTTGACAATCAGACACTCCAGACCCGCGAAATTTAATTATTAGTAATTCCGGGTACTTTTTGAACAGACCACGTATATATGCAATATCAATGTTATTATTTAAGAGATAAAAATAATATTTTAAGAATTCAATTTATAAATAGCTCAAAACTTGTAATTGAGAATTTTGTCTAATCCTTTCAGATAAACTGTGTAGGCGTAACGAAAGGCGATATTTTCGATCATTCATTTCTCAGACACGAATGGCACTTTGTTGAAAAAAGTAAATATGCCAGATGTAATGGATTTAATATTTTAATTGATCAACCAAGACATGGTGATACTGCCTGGATGATTAAACCAAGTTTATAGTATGTATAAAAGTACACATAAACCGAAAATACTTATTAATTTACCAAACAATCCATCCAGAATCATCTATTTATCAAATCCAGTTGCAACTTTAATTCACTTAATCGTACTTGCTCGTTTTTTCATGTATCTCAGTTTTCTTAACTAATTGAATAAAATATATAATTTGTCAAACCAAAGCTGTCAAACCAAAGTGATTTTAAACCAAAATTTGAAACTAATGTGATACATTCTCAAGAAAAAAGTTTAGAAATTCTTAGATGATAGGTTTAATATTTTACAACATCTCTAATCATTCTTCCTCATGCATGAGGAAGTTGACCATCATGCTAAAGCAGTTTTTACTAATATTTTGTGATTATTTATAAACGTTTATTTTATCAAAGTTCTATATATAGATTTATAATATTTATTTCATATTCTTGTTAGTGTTGAAGGTCGAGAAGGAATAGTTTTAGACTATTTTAGAAACAATTCATCCTCAGCACCACCGATTTTTGTTTCTGCTAAGGGTAAGTACCACATATTAAATTTAATGATTTAATAACTTAATCAACATATTTTAGTTTAACTGATTAAAATTATTTGTAAATTTTAATTAAAATTTTGTTTATCACAGATGATATGATGATGAAATGCGGAAGTTTCACTTATAGTGTCCGAAAAAATGAAGTCGTATCATGCAATCGTTTGCAATTTGTTAGTAATGGAGGTAATTTATTTTTTATCACAAGAAAAATAATAAATGTATATGTAAAAATAATATAAACTTTACTATTACTCTATATCGAACATGTGTAATGAAGTTATAGGTATAGTATGCATAAAAATTTGTATGGAGAGGTCAACTCTTTTAAATCAATGTCACGTCAAGATTAGTTTTATCTATATTAAACTGAACATTCATTTTTAAAATTTCAATATATTTTGTTTTTTAGACAAACACAACATTATAGAAGGCGTCGAAGGAGTAACTTATTACTATCCTCTTGAGATACATTCAGACGTCGCCAATAATTATAATGCCAATCATACCGATAAATATATATCCCTTGACTTTTTAAATTTTGGAAAGCATTTTGGAGGTATGTTATTTTCAAGGTATAAATAAAATTATTTTAAATCAGTGTAATATATAAATTTTTAACTTCCAGTTCAAGAAGGCTTAGTTCTTCGATTAGTTCGCAGTAAGTTCTATAATGATTTATAATAATTTGAATAACAATTATTTATTGCGTTTATTTATTTAGCAAATTTGCCAGAAAAAGATTCTAAACTTACTACACTGTCTAAGCTCAGCCCGGAAACAGAAGTTAAATTAAAATATTTGACACAACAACGTGTCACATGGGAAGCTTATACATAAGCAGTAAAAAAAAATCTAATTACTATTATTATAAAAGCATTTAAATATGAATAAATTCGTACCTGAAATAGCCATTGATACGTCCAATTCATTTTTAAAATACCCAGAATGTTTTCCACTCCTTTTTGTCCTCCGAGAGCAAGACCCCAGAGAGCAGGACGTCCAAAAAATACCTAGAAAAAGATAAATCAAATTTTGAAAATAATCATAAAAGTATAATATTAATTAGGATGCATAATTTCGGCAATACGTTCTTTATAACTAGAGTTATATTTTGAATAAGTTCTATATAATATTAAAAATGAAAAATTTTAATTTACAAAAATTTACAAAATTAGGTCCTCAAAAATAAAATACATTTTTTTGTCAAAACGTGATGACTGATTTGATTATTAGCAGCGTGATATTAATTTATTATATAAAAACTAGTTTAATAATTATATAATTTAAAATTCTCTTATTAAACTAGTTTAATAATTTAATAATTATAATGAATGAAAATTCCAAATATGTTTTGAAATATACAAGAGCTCAAAATTTTGCTTTATAATTGTTTAAGCATTTTATCAGTTATCGCAAGTAATTAGAGGTAATTAACAAGCGGCATTGATTTTATCAAACGTGGGAATATAAAACTCTTGACATTGAATAATGAATTGATTAGAAAATAAATTCTCAAGATAATATTCATATACTAATAATATTTACCATTTTTGCGCCTAATGCAAGTGCTTTGAAAATATCTTCTCCTTGTCGAATTCCTCCGTCCATAATAACAGTTGTTTTATGACCCACAGCACGAGCAATTTCTGGTAAAGCTTCTATCTAAAATTATTAAATAAATAATAAATAACATAATTCAGAAAATAGTAATAATATTTTAGAAAAGTTCATCATCATTACCAAATCAACTATTACATTATTGAATTATAAAATATTGTAATCTTTTTTTTAAAATAATTGTTTCTAATTAAATTACTGCTATTTTGCATCTAATTGCAATATGTAATTAATTACCGAAGCTGGCACGCCATCCAGTTGTCTCGCTCCATGATTAGAGACCACAACGCCTTGTACTCCGATTTCAACTGCTTTTATGGCATCTTCAGCAGTTAGTAAACCTTTTACCAAAACCGGCAGTTTAGTAATACTGAAAAAAATATATTTATTATGATAGAGCAATTTCAGTTCTCAGTTTGAATTTTCCTGGTCTACCTAATTAACCACTTGACATCATCCCACGTTAGGGTTCCATCAAACTGTTTTGTTACGTAGTCGGTCAACCCTGAGGAATCACGTTCGATGGTAATATCTGTGGATTTTTGGCCCTCGAAATTGCCTAATCTGTAAAATTAACAAAATATAATAGAATTTGTTGGGTTACATCGCAATGTTAGAGAATAAAGCTGTTATTTTATATTAAGGGGCACAACTAATGTAACTGCCTAAAAAAAGGTGATTTTTGGGAATTTATATTAAAAAAACTACTTTATCAATCATTTCAAAATTTTAGGAATATATTTATACATGTTTTAATAATACATAGTAAATTTTTGAAGAAACAAATTAAATCTTTTTTAAGTTATTGTCGATCTCCAACGGCGCGACAAAAAAAGGCCCTTCACTGCTGCAGTGATTCCGGCCTTCTACGTGGATGAAATTTAAAAAAAAAAATCTCGTTAAACTAGATAATATTGTCTGTAAAATGAACTATGATAAAGAAAAAAAATCAAAAATTGACAAAATGACGGCGTTTTTTTTTAAAAAAAAGTCGAAAAGTTACCCAAAATTTTGGTCGTTTTTGGACTGCCAAAATTCGATTTTTGATCCGATCAAAAAATAGTTCATTTTGCGGAGATCTATATATAGAACATGTAAAAAAAAATTGATAGTGATCGGATCTTTTTTTTTCAGTAATCACTGCAGCAAATTCGGAAAATGCTGTTTCGAGAAAAACGCGTTTAAAGATAAAATGATCGTTATATTATATTCTATATATATACTCTTTAAATGGCTGTGACTCAAAAACTATTTAAGATATCGAATTAAAATTTTGGTATGTTATTTTTAAAGGTATAACCTATCGAAATATGAAAATTGAAAATTCGAATTTTTGAAAATTTCACACTAGTTGTGCCCCTTAAATTTCTATCCAGTATATAAAATTTATTATCTTGAATTATTCATACTTTGGACCATAATCAGTTGCAATTGATTTGATATGACGTAGATACCATATTGAAATGCAAAACAAATACTTTATCTCAAGAAGGAATTCCAAAGATAAATATCAAATATGATTAGAATGCATATTATTTAATTCAAAGTATCGGTGACTGAATTATATAAAATTCGAACATTATTAAATTGTATACTGTCCCTACTTTGCAGAGAGCTCTACCCTAAGTATTTTTGATCAAACATAGAAAATATGATAAGCTTCAGAAGTCTTATAATAACTTATCTGTTCCTTACTTTAAATGTGAGGGCAGTTTAAATTTATTTCTTATATCAGCTCGTCTGAGACCAAATACTGGTGCGTCTACTGTTAGCACCAAAGCCCTAAAACCGCACGCTTCAGCTCTTCTCACAAGATCAATTGTTAGTTGTCTAAAAAAAAATAAAACAAAAAGTATCTTAATATTAGCAAAAATAATATTCAATCTATCAGAACGGATTTATATATACCTGTCGTAGTATATGTAAAGTTGAAACCATTTAATAGTACTTGGTGCAGCCTGGGCGACTTCTTCCATAGAGCAAGTGGACAGAGTACTCAGGGTAAAAATTGTACCATATTCACCAGCAGCTGGAAATTAAAACCATGTAAGGTAAACAGATACTTATTTGGTACAAAATCGAATAATAGACAAATATTAAAGTAAAATTTGACAAACATCATTTAGAAATTCATGATATAAATATTTTTAATTGTTGTTATTTTTCAAACCTCTAGCGTTTGCACATTCTCCATCAGCATGGGCCATTTTTTGCATGGCAGTCGGGGATATTCCAAAAGGTATTTTAACACGATCGCCGAAAATTTCCACAGACATATCACGATTTGACACTGGAACTAAAAACCTTGGACGAATACGCAACCTAAAATAATAATATTACTATCATCATTGTAAACAATTATAGGTAGCAATAAAAATAAATTAAAGTAAAGATTTAGGTAACAGATATAAAATATAATTTATATCAGTTCAGAAGATTAACTACCAAGATTTATCCTTTTTCTATATGATTTTTTATTATTTATTAGATAACTAGGACGAGGATTTATTAGAGACTTATATACGGATTTTTGCTACACTAAAAAATTAAATATTGACATACTTATTAGCTCCTAATAACACAGGCCTACAAAAATTTTTTTTTGTTTGGTGCATTAAATGTTAGAGCTGATTCTTAAAGTATTTTTTGCGCTGATTTCAAATCTGCAAACCATTTTTTGTATCAGCTCTAGTTTGGAACTTGGAAAGAAGTTGCCGAAACCAGGTCCATTCTAGGTGGTCATGGAAAAGAACTTTTCACAGTGTCAACTAATGTCCCAACTAAGGCCGAATGGGTCTTGTAAGTTTGTATGTACGAGTAGGCATTCTCATTAAAATAAAATTCTGAATTGTATTACTATTTTGTACTTTCATTCCTTATATATCATATCTTGAAAACTAAAGCTCATAGAAAAAAAACAATGTCATTTTTGAAATCAGCGCCCCAAATATACTTAAAAACAGCATTAAAATCGTTTGCACCATTTTCTTTGTTGGCCTGTGAAATATATAGATATCAACAATATATATGAACAATGATTTCTATTAATAAAAATATTACAAGGTAAACTAATAGAACATATTACAAGTAAAAAAATTCCAATTCATTCAAAATACGAAATAAAGAAGAGTATACTAATAGAACAAACATCTAGAAGCAAAAAAAAAATTGTGAAGACGTTAAGTTTTGTATATATAAGTGAAATAGAAATCAGGTATTTAAATTTAATTTAATAAACTAAATGTTAAAACCAGAAAAAAAATACTTTTTAAAAATATAACCGAAAACATTAACTTCTTGCGCCTAACATTCTCACAACAACATTCACATACAACTTTTATTTAGAAATAAGAATTAATAGTATTTATTGTAATAAAATAATTACTGAAATAATTTTGCAATAAACTTTGAATTTTATGAAGATGTGTAAGCAAGCTAAATAATTTTTAAAAATGTACATTCCAAATATTAATCGAACAGACAAATCAAAAATAATCCAAATAAATAACCTATTATATGTAACACTTCTAGAATTTAAGTGATATATTCTCTCAATAAATCTTTAATTTGTATTTTAAGGTATTTGGATTTCTAAGTGCATTATATTAAATTAAATTATTAAAAATTAAATTTATTTAAAAAAAACATATGTACCTTCTAAAAGCTTCCTTGTTCAAACTCAACGTATGTTCATCCCCAGCTCCACTCTTATAATAATCTCTTGCATTTTGGGGTAAAATTTCATACGCCCTTGCTTCATATTCATTCACAGTCACTAACGTCGACGACATGTTCAACAATTTCACTTTTAAACCCAAAAAATTAACAATAAATCAACACATTTGACAATTTTATTAATAATAAATCTACTATCTATAGGTAACACTTTCAATTACTAGTTTGCTTGTAATGATCGATTCCGCGTGTACGTTGCTTCTAAATGACCTTGTTTATATTTGATCTCATAATGTATGATTTGACACGAGTGATGTACTTATCATATTAACAACACTTTGTTCTCGTCATCGTGTTTAAATATCTGTAAATAAGATACAATTAAATTTCAATTTGATTGCAGTTTATGAATTTGATAGAAATTTAGAAATTTGTATGAATAATTTTATGTAAATGACCAATGACCTAATTGTAGCAGTTTTCCAATGGTAAAAGGGACCTAATAAAGAATTTGATTGGTGATGATAATAGCAAATAAATAATGAAGATAATGCAAAAGAGTTTTAGAAATCAATACAATGAATAATTTATTTGTTTGAAAGATAAGTGATCATTTTTTAAGCTAAATTTCAATACTGAATGTACTGTGTGTATATAGTTTGCTATGTACAATAAAAAAAAGTTTGAATATAGAAATACTTTTGCTCAAGTATGCTTGATATGAAGAAAATTGATTTCTGAACTGAAGATAAAATTAATTAGCAAACTATTGGTGTTAACTAATTATTTAGAGTTAATTTTTTCGTGGCCCTTATAAAGACCATGTACATATTTCCCAAGTTCGATAATATTGAAGAAACAAATCTTGGTTACCCACAAAAAATTTCGATTACGCCCTCATTTAAAAATTATGGATAATTCGTGTAAATATAAAATTAGAGGTGTAAATCAGATTGGAAACATGTTTCTTATTTGTAATCAACCATGTAAAACAGTTCTCCCATGAATTTTCCAAATTTTTCATAAGTTTGAAAACAAATATTGCCCGGTCCATCTAAAAGACAAGGAGTAGGTACATATAATGTAAAGGCAAGATAGGAAAATCTTTGTCAATTCATAGGATAAAAAAAAGATAAACAAATTCAAGATGCATTATAAAATGATATAAAAGAAATACATTACAAAATATAATATAAATTTTAAATGCCCAAATTAATACAATTATAAAAAGTTTATTAAATCAACCGTATCTTATTTTTACATGTATTAATTTAATATATTATTAAAAAAAATAGTAATTAGTTATATATGTATTTAAAGATTTTTTTTTGAACTTGAGTGTAATTTTTTTATATTTATTTAATTAAGTATGCGTAATTATTTTGAGGTTTGGCTTATATAAAATTTTACCTTCATCTTCGAAAAAAAGGTATTTTGGTAAAAAAACGAGATCCTAAAGATCTGAAAATAAAATTATAAACATTGAATGTGTTCAATAAAATGATATTCATAAAAAAAAATATTAAGAGATATTTTGTACGTTTAAAATTAATAATAACAATAACTCACCTGACTCTATACTTTCCAGTAATATAACTTGCCTCTTTCACTTCAAGATATTTTATAGAGACAGTTTAATTTTCCATTGATGACAATTACGTTTCTGATATCAGTTTTTAGCCACACAATGAATTGTTATCAAAATCTACATATTTATAAATTCTGCTCATTGTTCATGCAGTTAACAATATAATAAGATTACATAACATTTTTCAATCATTTGGTGCACGATACAACGATCATTGGACTTGGAAATGTTATTTAATTGATCTGGCATAAAATGCTGAAGGACAGGAAGGAAAAAATTGTTTGATACAAAAAACATTCGCAAAAAAATAATTATATATATATATATATATATATATATATATATTGCATGCTGATATAATAAAAACTCAGTACTAAACCTTATATTAAAAAATTGACGCAGTGAACTGAACTATTTCTAATCTTTATGGTTATTTAAAACTCCGTAACGATTTGTATAAATCAAAACAAATTGATATAATATTCGTTAACTTATTTATTTAAACAGTAACTTTTAAGTAAATAAAAATTTTAAAATTCATAATAAAATAATCATCATTCACAATTTCTGAGGTAAGTATTATCAAGCACATCATACACTCTCAGGTGAAAAAAATACGTTATTTTAAAAATAATATAACATAAACATATCGAAGTAAGTATTTCAAAATTTAAATATTAGAGTCTTTATGACGAAATTAATTGCCTTAATCGATTTTATTTTATCAACGAATTATTTTAAATGATTCTAACTCATGACAAAATAAATTAACTGAAATGACATATCATTTATTTAAAGTATTATAAAAAAATAATATTTGGGAAAAATTAATATTGATTTTTAATAAAGAAGGAAAAATTATGTTTTGAGCGTTTCATTGTCATAGTATACATATATGCAAACTTTTAAGAAAATACAACATTGCATTTCTTATGAATTTCCAAAAACTTTATTCTTTTTTATGATTATATTATTTAAAATTATTATGTTTCAAGTATAACAGATCATGACCTCTAAAACAGCATTGTGTTTATATTGCCACTAAAAACTAGGCATGTATTTTTGGTTCACTGCATTTACACGAGACAGCGTTTGAAAACTTAAAAAAAGACTTAAATTTATTTATTATATTTATATTTACATGTATATATATATATAAGACTACAGAATTCGGTGAGTTTTTTTTTAAATAATTTCGAGTATACATAAATAAAATGAACGTTATGAAATTTAATGCTTCATGCATAAATTATGTAAATTTAATTTGTTTGTTACTTGGTTTATACTTTTAAGGGGGTGTCCATTAATCACGTGAGCGAGTTTTTGAGGATTTTTGGACCCCCCTTCCCCTTGGTGATACATGATGATATTCAAAATTACCCCCCTCCCCCACCAAACATCGCATATTTAGTTATTTTTAAATTTTAAAATTTTTCTGAAAATGATTTAAAAAAAATTATTTGAAAAATAAATACACGTGATATCTTACTATACCCCTCCCTCCCCCAAGTGATATTTCGTGATTTTTTGTCAGACCCCCCTCCTCCTAAAAACCTCACGTGATTAATGGACGCTCCCTAAACTCTACGACCATGAACATTATATTTAACATCATCAACATAAACTTCTAAAACGTTTAAAAGTTAAAAAAAACAAAATTGAATACAAGCATACAATATAAATTGAATTGCAAAGTTGAAATTATTTGTTTGAAGTATATTAGAACTATAGTCAAAATTAAAAATAAAATCTGAATTATTTTCGATATACGAAAAAACTAAAAAAAAGAAAAAAAAATTATACAAATTTTTTTTTTCAAAATCAATTAATTTGTTCAAACAAGCTGAAAGTTCTTTGAATCATTTAAATTGGACGCTTAGTTCTCTCAAAAACTGCCATTTTTTGCACATTTAGCTCTGCATCTTCGAAATGGCTGGGCCTGCCATTGCCAAAAACTATTAATCACTTCTCCCAATCATTACTAATTGAATGTTTTTTAGATCATTCAAATCGGATGATCCGTTCACTCAAAAACTCGATTTCTATTTTCTGCACTCTTTGCTCTATATCTCCGTAACGGCTGGACCTACCTTTGCCAAAAACTAATCAGCTCTTCTCCTTATCAATAGGAATCGAATGTTTTTTGAACCATTCAAATCGGTTGATCCGTGCGCTCGAAAACGTGACTGGAAATTTGTATCCATACATACATACACACACACATCCATTTTTTCTGAGGTATGCCAAAATGTGTGTGTGTGTATGTGTGTATGTTCAGATACAAATTTTCGACGACGATTTCGAGAACACGGATGAAGCGATTTGAATAATTCAAAAAAACATTCGATTCGTATTGATAAGGAGACGTGCTGATTAGTTTTTGGCAAAGGCAGGTCTAGCTGTTCCAAAGATATGGGGCAAAAAGTGCCAAAAACGGTAACTCAGTTTTTAAGAGAACGGAGCGATTCGAATAATTGAAAAAACATTTTACTTAGCGGTTTAGGAGATCTGGTAAAAAAAGTAAAAAAAAAATGCCATTTGGCGGTCAAAAATGATCATTAGGCATATGCACATCAAATTATCAGATATTTTATAGAGATTTTAACAATGAGTATAAATTTTGTTTACATTCCTATGGGTTCCGTACCAATGCTTATACGTTAGACGACGGCGCGGCACTTGCGCGCTTTGACATTTTGTCTCTATGCAATTAAAGCAGTACGATTGCTTTGAAAAAAAGTTCCGAATTTCCAAAGTATTTCAAAATCAATTTATTTTCAGAAAGTTTTTTTTTTCAAAAATAAGTAAATCTTTGTCAAAATTTTATAGTTTCTCAAAAATCTAATTTTGTCAGAGTTATTTTTTTTTCAAAAATGTTAATCTTTTTAAAAAAATAATTTTTGGTACAGGAAGTTCCAGCAATTTGCCTTAAGGCACGATGCCCTGCGCCCCAATAGTTTTTCATGTTATTGATTATCATTTCTATTTAAAACAGTACTTTTTCTACATACATCGAGCTTTACCTTTACCATTATGTAGGTTTTCCACCCCTGATATCGGAACCACCATCCATAGAGTTTGAAGCATTTGCCTTTATTAAAGTTCACGGTCCGTAAACAATATGAATCATCTTTATATAACTCTGCTGAAATGGGAGCCGCTATTATTAGTTTGGTGTGTTCATCAAGTTCAGTCGGGTTTCGCAAACCGCGCTAGTGAATTGTGTTCCGATAGTTTATCTTGCTGGAGATCGATTCTGCAATAAAGGTAAATAACATTGTTTATATTAACAATTTGATAATATAATTTTTGTATTCGACGTAATAAACCGACGCAAACTCTGACGTAATAAGCCGGCAAATTTTATGCTGCATAAGTATAAAAAAATGGTTTAAAGTTATCATTTGTTTGAAAATTCTAAAAAAAACATTACATATTTATTTATGCTATTAGATACATTGTAGTTCAAATAGATTAACTTAACCTTATTGCATATTTAATTTTTTCAATATCTTATGGGATTTTTACAATTATATAAAAATATACATATGTAAAGATAAATGTAAAGTTCGAGATATTAGGGTTATATTAATTTATAGCATAAATATATTATAAGATAGTTTTAAATAAAAAATATAAATGGTAGAACATGTAAAATAAGTCCATAATTGTAATGTAAGTAAGTAATTGTAATGTGATAAGTCATGATATGCGTAA